ACAGGAAGCCCCTGCCCCGGGCTTCCTGGAATCAGCCGCTGATCAGTTTCAGCAGCAGCTGACTTGGGGATGCCTGGGGTTCTTAAGTTGAATTTGTATGTAAGTCAGAACTGGCGCCCAGATTCAGCCACTGTTGAAGCTGATCAGTTTCAGCAGCGGCTGAATCTGGACGCCAGTTCCGACTTACATACAGATTCAACTTAAGAACAAACCTACAGTCCCTATCTTGTACGTAACCCGGGGACTGCCTGTATATTGATTTAGCTTGACTTGACTGTCAACAATTAAAACTACCAAAAGAAAATATGATTTAATGTTGCTCTTTAAATCCGAATTCTGAAATAATTGATTTTCAGCTCACTTGATTTTTACCTTTCTCTCCTCCTTCCCCTCATTTTCTCTTAAAGGACATCATACCCTTTGGCAATAACCCTGTTTTCCGTTACCTTTTTGGCTGGATGGTTCCTCCGAAAATCTCACTATTAAAACTGACACAAGGAGAAGCTATTCGAAAGCTGTATGAACAACATCATGTTGTACAAGACATGTTGGTCCCAATGAAAAGCCTTGAAAAATCTATCAATACCTTCAACAGTGACCTGAATGTAAGAACACATTTCTCTAAAAGCTGGTAAATGGAAGATTGCCCTATGAACGGTGCTTATTGGCATCAGTACAGTTGTTCCTTTTGCACAAAATATGGCAGTATGCTAAATTTTAGAGAATTTTGCCAACTAATTAAATATTATTAGGCAGCTGGTAAAGTGAAATGCTCTAATAAAAAGAAGCAAGAAAAACTGGAGATTCCAAAATACCTGTTCTTCTTCGAGTGGTCCCCATGGGTGCTCCACTCGTGGTGTCGGGCTTGTCCCGGCATCGCGGATCGGAGGTTTGCATAGCCGTGCTCCGCACATGCGCAAGCAGCACCTCGCACCGTTCATCTGTTGTGCGCAGTCTGGCCCTGCTCAGTTCCTTCCAACTTCCCTTGGTCGCAGATAGCGCTCCGTCTCTTCCTCAGTGTTTCTCCTTAGGTTAATCTGTAAATAAATTGTAACTTGCTATGATATTAACTAGTCTTAGCTGTTTTCTTGTTCATAGTTCTTCTTTAAAAAAATGTACTCAATGAGAAATAGACACCTCTTTTAAAAAAAAAAATCCTGGTTCCCCAGGTTTTAAGAAGTGTACGCTGTGCTGGCAGCCCATGCCAGCGTCAGACAGACATGAGGCATGTATACAGTGCTTAGGGGAAGCACACATACTGCAGAGATGTCAGCTTTGCTGTAAGCTGACTACCAGAGCCCGTAAAGACCGCGAAATGCGGTTAAAAATGCTTACACTGGATAAGGCATTACAGCCTGTTGATTTGCCTATCTCTTCCAGGCACAAGCGCAGTACAACTGCCACTGAGACGTCTGCTCCAAAAAAATCTAAGACGTCTCCAACTCAATCGCTCCCAGCGGCTCTTAACATTGGACAAGGCTCGAAAGATGGTCCGAGCACATCAGGGGCAACCGCGGCAGGGTCTTGGCGGATGCCAGCCCCTAACGGAAAAAAACAGTCACCTGTGGCACCGAGAGCGCGATCAGCGCCATCAGCTCCACAGAAACTGACATGGCAGCAGGGCCTGCAGCACCGGCGCCACCAGCACCAGCAGCATTTAAAGAGCAGAGCACAACCTTGCCAGCGCCGCAGCAAGCGCACCCGGCACCACACTTCCCAGCACCGCTACAGGACAATATCACAGCAGCACCGGAAGAAGCCCTAGCACACATGACTGTGCATCCAGGACTCATTTCTTCTTCCCCAACTTTCTCTCCGGGGCCATCTTACTCCCCAAGGTACATCACTGGCACCACAGTTGGGCACGCAGCCCCGTGTCCTCTGATTATCACTCCTGCTATAGAGAAGTAAGATACAGAGAGAAGAGACCGTCTCTGTCACAGTCCCCATCTCCACGGTGCTCACTACATTACTCACAATCGCCTGTCCGGTCACCAAGGCGTCATTACTATACAAGACATAGTAGTGTCTTATCTTCTCGGCACTTATCCCCAGCACACTCAGACCATACTATGGTCATTACCATAGGATGTATTATGACCCTCCTGATCATGATCATACCTCCCAATACTACAGAAGATGCACATGTTGCTGTTCATCTCCCAATTCTCAACCCTTACCTCCGGAGCCTCAGCATGAACGTTCACTGCCTCCTCCAAAGAGATTCAGCTGGAACAGTCGGAGCCTGAAGAGGGACAATTGTCCGATCCAGAGGCCCTCAGCAGGGCATGTCACCAACAGACCCCTCATCATCCTCACCAGATGAGGCAGTGATTCCAGGTGACATCTCTCTGCCAGATGACCTGAAACAATTTCAGGATCTCTTCAAACGGGTTGCAGATAGCCAGGAGGTAGAGTTAGAAGCCATTCAAATGAAACAATACTGTCTCTTGAAGAATCTACGCCCACAACACCGGGGTAGAATTGCACTTCCCATCGATGAGGCAATCATGGAGGTCACGGAAGAAATATGGCAAACTCCAGCATCCGCTCCCCCAACAAGTAAAAAAGCAGATAAAGAAGTATTTTGTTCCTTCCAAGATCTTAGATTTTTTGTTTAATCACCCTCAGCCTAATTCATTGGTGGTTGACGCGGTACAACATAGATCGAAAGTACCATAATACAGAAATATCCTCCCAGAAAAAGATAATAAAAAGTTAGATATCTTTGGAAGGAAAGTTTACTCTTTGGCCATGTTACTATTGCGTATTGCCAATTATTCTGCTCTACTTTCCAACCATAACTTTTGACAATTATTCAAAATTTGCGGACCTTCTTCAGCATCTCCCTGACTCAAAAAGACCATTGCTCAAATCCATAGTGCAAGAGGGATATGCTTCTTGTAGAGCAGCATTACAAATCGCCTTGGATGTGGTGGACACTGCTGTATGAGCCTCCGCTACAGGGTTAGCAATGAGAAGATCTTCATGGCTATCAGCAGCAGCAGTCCCAAAAGAACTCCAGGATAAGGTTGAGGACTTGCTTTTCAACAAACATAAACTCTTCGCTAGCAAAATGGATGAGGTCCTGCACTCAGGGAAGGATTCCCGAACTATGCTTCGCACACTAGAGATGTACGCACACCCCTTCAGACAAAAGCGTTATTATGCTTACCAAAGAAGATATGATTTCTCTTTCCATAGGCAACAACCTCGCACCCTGGAACATCAAAGATTCCGACAGCGTCCTCAGCGGAAGCGACAGCAGCCTGCCCGTACCTCTAACCAGCCGTCTACACTCCTTTTTCAACATCATCTAGGGCTGTATTAACACCATTGATTCACTATCACCTTGGACAAATGGGTGTTGGAAATTGAAGCTTCCGGTCTCACCGTCCCCTTTATTTCAATTCCCCCAACCACCCCACCCACCCCGTCCCTTTTCAGGGATCCATCTCACGAGGATCGGTTGAAACAAGAGGTCCATCGCTTGTTTGCCATTGGAGCAATAGAGAGAGTGCCCAAGGAATTCCAAGGGAAAAGGTTTTATTCTCAATATTTCCTCACCCTAAAGAAGAATGGAGGATGGAGACCCATCTTGGACCTCCAAAATCTAAACCGATATCTCCAGAAGCAATGCTTCAAAATGGTCACCCTAGCTACAATTATACCAGCGCTGAACGAGGGAGATTGGTTCGCAGTCCTCGACTTACAGGATGCTTACTTCCACATTGCAATACATGTGGCACACAGATGATTTCTTCGGTTTATAGTAGCAAACGAGCATTTCCAGTACAAAGTACTTCCATTCGGGTTAGCATGTGCTCCCAGGGTATTCTCCAAGACCTTAGTGGTAGCAGCCCACCTGCGCTTGCCTCTGCAGGTGTTATACTTATGCAGAGACATGCAAGTCGGTGAGAATAACAACTCGAACATTCAGTTCTCTCGGTCTCATTATAAACATACAAAAATCATCACTGGAACCGACTCAGAACTTGATTTTTATAGGAGCGCAACTAGACGCGAAGGCAGCTCGAGCGTACTTACCAGCAGAACGTTTCTAGTCAATCCAGGACCTAGTAGATACCGTCACACATCTTTCAGCGATGCCAGTATTCACCTGCTTATAGTTGATGGGCCACATGGCAGCTGCCACTCTCATTGTCCGACATGTGAGGTTACATTTCCAATGTCTCCAGCATTGGCTGGCCTCTGTCTACACTCCCGCGAAACACAGTATCCACAAGTTGGTAGTGTTACCGCCACACATCAAGGAGTCCCTCCAATGGTGGACCAAACCAGAAAATCTCTCTGGGGGGGGCGTATTCCTTTTCACTGCCCCTAACCTTCAAAACAAATAGCTACCGATGCCTCCCTTATGGGATGAGGCGCCCACATGGACAACCAAAGAGTTCAGGACAGGTGGTCCAAAGCAGAAATGTTACTGCACATCAATATACTCGAGCTCCGGACAGTATTTCGAGTATGCAGGCATTTCAAATTGCACATAAGAGGCACAACAACCAGAGTGCTCACAGAGGATGTTGCAACCATCAAAAGACAAGGCGGAGCCCGTTCTTGATCTCTTTGCACGGAGGCGGTTCAGTTGTGGAATTGGTGTATCTGCAAGGACACGTTCCTCATAGCGTTGGACTTACCTGGGATCAACAACATCATTGCAGATTCACTAAGCAGACAGTTTTCCCACGATCACGAATGGGAGATCCAAACCAACATTCTGTACTGTATTTTCCGCTGTTGGGGCTTTCCATCAATAGACCTGTTTGCAACACAAGACAATGCGAAGTGTCCAAACTATTGTTCCAGAGTGGGTATAGGTCGTCACTCCTTGGGAGATGACTTTCTCCTTCATTAGGAAGCATCTCTACTTTATGCCTTCCCACCAGTTTTCCTGGTACCCAGGATTATAGAAAAAAATCACCATGGACGTAGCTCGCATGATCCTCATAGCTCCAGCTTGGGTTCACCAACCATGGTACTCTGCTTCACCAGTTATTGATCAAAATATCTTCCCATTGCCCTGAATCTGCTAACTCAACGAAACGGCTCTCTATGGCACCGAGACCCGAAATCCTACATTTGACCACTTGGATGCTAAGTGGTTCACGACATCCGAGAACCTCTGCTCTAGTCGAGTCAAACGTGCTAATGTCCAGCAGAAAGGACTCTACACGGGCTACATAGTCTACTAAGTGGACTATATTTCAGGTTTGGTGCTCTGAAAATGATATTGACCCCAATACTTCACTGTTGCATAAGATAATCTACCATATGCTATATTTACAGCAAAGGGGTCTATCTATAGCAGTGGTCCCCAACGTGGTGCCCACGAGCATCAAGGCACCCGCTGGGGCATTTATGTGCGCCTGTCGAGTGATCAGGGCCGACCCTGCCTGGGGTGCGCAGTGCATCCACGGTGCCTGCCCTGGACGTGTGGCATATGGGTGGCCCCATCCCCGGGCGCCCGGCAGCCCCAAGAGGTTGGGGACCACTGATCTGTAGCCTTCTTATGAGTACATTTGGCGACGATTACTGCCTTTTGCCGCACAATAGAAGGATTTTCCTTGTTTTCTCACCCTATGATGAAACGGTTTCTGAGAGGGCTTATGAATCTTAACCCATCACAGAGGCCTCCACCACCTTTGTGGAATCTTGATTTGGTGCTGGATATGTTGACACGTCCCCCATTCGAACCATTGGCTACAACTTCATTGCACCTGCTCGCAATTAAGTCTCTCTTTTTACTAGCCTTGACTTCGGCACATCATCATTACCTATGCTATATTTACAAAGGATTCAGTCATGTTAAGATCTCACCCAGGTTCCTTCCCAAAGTATGCTCGAACTTTCATATCAGTGAGCCCATTGTGCTTCCCTGTTTCTGCCCCAAACCGCATACCTCACCACGTGAGGCACTCTGCATACCCTTGATGTACGCCGGGCTCTAGCTTTCTAGATGGACAGAACGCGAGATTTCTGCAGAATGGACCGCCTTATAGTATCACTGGCAGCTCGTTCCAAGGGGCAACCATTGTCCTCCCAATATTGCGAACTTAATAATCACATGCATTACTACATGCTATTCCATACATAATAAGCCACTTCCATCTCAACCCAAAGCCCATTCCACAAGAGCAGTGGCCACATATATAGCTTTTTAAAGAGGAGTACCATTTAGGGACATTTGCCGAGCAGCAGCATGGTCCTCCAATGAGACTTTCATGAGACATTATGCGATACTGCATCACTGGGCTTCAGACTCCTCACTGGCAACGGCAGTATTCCCTCCTGTCAATAAACCTTAATTCCGAAGCACATTTCTCACTTGGGTACTGCTCCAAAGTCACCATGAGTGAAGCACCCATGGGGACCACTAGAAGAAGAAGTTACTCACCTTCGTGCAGTAACGATGGTCATTCAAGATGTGTCCCTGTGGGTGCTCCACGACCTGCCCTCCTCCCAGCTCCGGAATTTGACTTTTTATCATTACAGATGTTCAAGTGGCTGAGAGGAACTGAGCAGGGCCGGATCGCGCACAACAGATGAAAGGCGCAAACGGCCACTGCTTGCACATACGTGGTCCGGCAGAGCACGGCTATGCAAACCTACGATTCGTGGCGCCGGGATGAGCCCGACACCACGAGTGGAGCACCCACGGGAACACATCTCAAAGAACCATCGTTACTGCACGAAGGTGAGTAACTTCTTCATTTTGTACTGTTAACTCACACATTTTAAAGAAAATTCTATCATTTTCTCCTTTTTATGTGATAAAACTGGAAATCAGATTCTTGTTCCTACAGAATCATTTGTTGGAAATTAATTTCCCTACCTTGCTTTGAGTGTCATTGACTTCAGTTGTTGCAAGAAATACAGACTACAGTAATGGACTTGAACTTTGGTCTTAGCAGATATCAGTAAAATGCCTTTCACTCTTCTGGTTTTACTTGTAATTTAAATTGAAATGTGTGTTCAATTAATGACTTAGGATCTGAGACCATTTCAAAGCTATTCTGTTTGGGTGTGTCTAGACTGCACTGTTATTTCGAGATAACTAGTGTTATTTTGAAATAAAATTGCAAGTGTCTACAAAGCCATTCCATTATTTTGAAATAAGGCATGGCTTATTCCAAAATCTGTAAACCTCTATGAGGAATAACGCCTATTTCAAAATAGCAGATGCTCCGCTGCGGCTATTTTGAAATAGCCCCTCACCAGGGCCATTCTAAGTTATTCCTTTCCAGTGCCTCCTGGGGATTTAAATGGAGATAGCATGTCTACATTAGGGAAGCCTTCCTCAGACTCGTTTTGAGGCTTCCCTGACTAATTTTGAGGCTTCCCCGTAGTGTAGACGTGCTATTTCGAAATAAGATGTTTTGGAATAACTATTCCAGAATAGTTTAGTTCTAAATAAACATGTGTGTGGACATACCCTTTATTATTTAGATCAGTGTTTCTCAACCTGGGAGTCATGACCTCTAGGGCAATCATGGAAAAGGTTTAGAGGGGTCACAAGCAGGGCTGTCATTAGGGAATGGTAGCAGAGCCATTACGTGAGATCCCATGTCATAGAGGGCCCCACAAAACTAATTCATATGGTTCAGTCCTGTGCCACAAGATCAAGATAGCTGGTTTCAGCTTTTTTGCGCAGTGGAGGAAGTGTCACTTTTTTTTTTTTAATCCAAAGGGGGTCATCTGTTCAAAAGGATTGAGAAACACTAATAATTGGAAAATACAATAAATTATTATAGTTGTTTGCTTTTTTTTGGTTTCTTATTTAACTTTTTGTTAGATTTTACTGTAAGATTAAACGAGCTGGAAAAGCAGAATTTAAGAGAGACATCAGTATAAGTTCTATACTGAAAATTGGCAAAGAGTGGTGCATTTATCTCTATTTTTGCATGCTCTGACAACAGACAACTTATATTGTATTCCTAAAATTGGTGATACAAAATTATCTTTGCAGGTTTACCCACTGTGGTTATGTCCTTTCATATTACCAAATAACCCTGGCATGGTCCACCCAAAAGGAAATGAACTGGAACTCTATGTAGATATAGGAGCTTATGGAGAGCCTAAAACAAAACAGTTTGAAGCCAGAGCATCTATGAGACAAATGGAAAAGTTTGTAAGAAGTATGCATGGGTAAGAGTCCTAGTCTTCAGAATAACACCATATAATGTATTGCCTTGCAGTTTAATCAGATTAACTTAACAGTATTTAATTACTGATTCTGATGTTATATATTCAGTTTGACTGTCTTTTTTAGTTTTGCTTACCAAAAACCACTCTGGTTGAGATTCTGTGCAGTGCTTCTAAGTAACATAGAATTTGCATCACAGGGGGAATGGTGGCTAAAGGTGACTTTAAGCTGTTTTTGCGCCCTCCTGATATTGGACTGCTCCAGGGGATGGAAAGGTGCCTCCCATGTAAATTAAGCTTCCTGTCTGAAGTTTAGGGGCATGTCTACATTGTTGCATAGACCAATGCCAAATCTAGTTTTCTAGGGTTTGTTAGCAAAATCATGAAGCCTATCTTTCAGAAAAACAAACTGTTCCAAAATATGTAAACTGACAATAGAATTTACCCAGACATATTCAGATGTCACGTATCTATTTACTTTTTTGTATTAGTGTCCCAGCGAAACTGATTTTTTAAAAACATTCAGGAATCTAACTGGGAAATAAATCATATAAAGTTAAAAATGCAAAAATGTTTTTAAAATATATTAGTGTTATTTATCTTCTAACCTCACTTAAAAAGTGACAATGGAACATTCTTTTCACTTTTCCATTGTACATAATGACTGTTTTTTCCAAAAATATGTCACTATATAGCCATCTGACTCGATGAATAATTATCCTTTATAATTTGTAGTAATGAATCTGTCCATTTTGTTTAAAAAGATTTCAATTTGTAGCTCTTAATTTTTTTTCTGATATTTTCCAACAGTATTAACTTTTAATTCCTTATCCTGTCTTTTTCTTTCAGTTTCCAGATGTTGTATGCAGATTGCTATATGAACCGTGAGGAATTCTGGGATATGTTTGATGGATCACTGTACCACAAGCTGAGGGAGCAAATGAATTGCAAAGATGCTTTTCCAGAGGTGTATGATAAAATCTGTAAAGCAGCACGGCACTGAATCTGGATAAATTAAGCAAGTAATCAGGGAAGGATGGATTTACCTGTAGTCGTCAGTATATCCTTATAAAAGCTTTATCACTGTCCAAATAAGCTCATGTTGATGTTTAAAAGTACAGATTTCTATTTTATACACTCAGATTCAGTACTTGGTGGTATGTTTTTAAAACAATTTCCCATAGTAATTTTATTTAAGATATCAAAGTCCTAGCCTACCCACCTCTCTTTGTAGCTTAGTTGCAGACATAGTGATGTTAGATGTAAATGTACATATTTCTAACATGGAGGGGAAGAAGTTTGGAAAGACAAAGATACTTAAGTAAATCAGTTATTTATTGTAATGTATATCTGAGACAGGTAAGAAAGTCGCTAAATTAGGTGCCAAAGTTGAGAGAATTATTTTCAAATTAATTATGACTTTAAAAATGTTACAAATCAGTAACTGGTACAGTGTTTAAATTCAAGAGAAGTCAAAAGTTAACACAATTTAGAGATGGTTACTGCAATCTTCAGACTAAATTCATGTTAGTAATGCATTGACAAATTGTCATTGACAAATGTCATCATTTCAGACCTGAGAATCAAGATTTGAAGAAAATCCATTTTGCTTGTGCCTATCTGATTTGTACTGATTCTGTTTATAACTGTGTAAGTGGTTATGAGCTTTAGGGAACTTTTTTTGGTTGGTTAAGATGATTTGAGGAGGAAACATTTAAGCATCCTAGACTACTGAAAATATCTGCTGCTATTTCATATAGACAAATATTAACTACTGTGGTTTTTTTCATGAGATCTATTTTACTTTTTATTATGGTTAATTTTAGTGCCTTATAAGTATTAGCTGGAGGAGACATGGGCCTTTTCAGACCATTCTATTACAGACTTTGGGTGGAGAGAGAGAGAAAGTAATGGACCTATTGTCAGAATTAATGCTTTAGTTATATAAGGTCCATTTGAATAAATATTGGTGATAAATGTAGGGGACAACCTCACATCCAGTTGTGTAGTAGAAGTTTGAAATACATAAGACATGGCTCTAAGTACAGTAAAGTTTCGGTATCCGACTTTCACTAATCCGACCTTCCATTTTATCCGACGGTGCCGCCTGTCATGTGATGGCACGGGGCTCCAGGGACACTTCATACCACAATGGCATGCAGCACGGGCTCGGCAACCCTACCTCCCCACCCCACACCTGGGGCAGCTCACGCCCGTGCTGCAGACTCACTTGGCACTCAGGTATGCTGGGCCCGTGTCCTGCTCCAGGCCCAATCCTGGCCATCCTGCCGCATTAGCAGCTCCGCTTTTAGGAGCAGGCCTGGACCCAGCTGGAGGAAGCAGAGAGTCCGGGCCGAGGCGGGAAGGGGAGGGGAGTGTGTGGCAAGG